GTTGTAGTTGTAGTTGTTGCTGTTGTTGGTGTTTTTCTTCAGTCTGCAGTTGCAGTTGATGTTGTTGCTGCTGTTGTTGTAGCTGCTCCAACAACAATAACTCTTTTAATTTGTTGCTTTTGCTGTAATCGTTAACGTCATGGTTGTTGATGTTGTTGTTGTGGTTATTAAAGTTTATTATCTTGTGATAGTAACTTTCGTGATCATCATCATCGCCCTCTTCATCATCATCATCATCATCTTTGTTGTTGTTGATGTAATTAAAAGGTTTGTTGATTTGTTTTGGTAGGTTGTCGTTGATATTGTTGGTGTCCTCTGTAGTGATGTAATAATCTTGCTTATTATTGTCATCGTAATAGTTTCTGTGGTCATATTTATATTTATTATTATGTTTATTATTATTATTAAAGTTGTTGTTGTTGTTGTTGACGAGGTATTCGAGTCTATTTTTTCGCAACTCTTCTCTGAGGACATTATTAATGATACTCAAGTACGATGATTCAAAATCATCATCATTACCATCCGAAGATGCTGATGATGATATCGGCGGTAATGATGATGATGATGTTGTTGGCGACGATGATGATGATGATGATCGCATTAGAAAGGGCATTTGTTGATAATCTTTTGATTTTTTATCCAATAGGATTGAGCTTAAGTCTTCGTCATTATCGTCATCATCGTTTATGTTGTTGTTGTTGATGTTGTTGTTTATGTGGTGTTGTGTGTTTTTGTTATCATTATAATAATCATTGTTGTAGAATTTGTTGTTGTTGTTAGATTTATCGATGCTGTTATAATGTTTAATGTTGTTTCTATTAATATATCCGTGGTTGTTGATGTAATTGTTGTTGCTACTGCTTCTAATGTAATTATTGAAATGGTGGTGGTTTCTGTTGTGGCTGTTGTATCTTTTGATGTAATTGCGGTTGTTGTGGTCGTTGTAGAAGCCATACAGACCATTATCATCATCATCATCTTCTTCTTCTTCTCCATCATTATTCATGTGGCTATTTTGGGCATTCAGCAGCTGAAACGAGAAACAATTAACACGTTATTATTATTATTATTATTATTATTATTATTCATATATAACTTTATTATGATTATTATTTTGATTATTATGATTATGATTATTATTATTATTATTATTATTCCTATGTAGCATTTTCTCATCTTACGATGTACTACTTATAGATCTTAATTATTTCGGTGAAATATAATTAACAATAAAAACAACAGTTACTTTTATTTGTAGTAGTAGTAGTAGTAGTAGTAGTAGTAGTAGTAGTAGTAATAATAATATTATAATAATAACATTAATGGAAACAGATCTTTAATTTTTCATCAAATGTGTAATGTCACTAATTAATTAATTAATTAATAGAGAAATAGTCATGATTGAAATAAAATTTATATAAAATCATAATCATCATAGTTAGTCATCATTGCTCTTTATTTAAAATAATAATAATAATAATAATAATAACAATAATAATAATAATAATAACAATAATAATAATAATAATAAATAATAATAATGATTTAACAGAATGATTTAATAATAATAACAACAATAATAACAATAATTAATAATAACAGTGATTTAACAGAAAGTATTTTCATAAACTCACGAAATCATCATCAGCACCGCCGCTGACGTCATCCTTATCGCCTACGTCATTATTAACATTTTGAAGGAACGGCAAACTCCGCTTTCTGCGAACACTTCTTGAGTGGCCAACATCATAGCCACCATCGCCACCATCACCATCATTACCATCATCATCATCATCATCATTATCATCATCATCATCATCATCATCTACAAGATTGTCATCAGGAGAACTCATCATTACCAATCTATCGTCATAATCATCGTCGTCGTCATAATAATTATTCATATTATTATTCATATTATTATTTATGTTATTATTATTATTATTTTTATTATTATCATTATTTTTGATATTATGTAGCCAGTGATTGTATTGCTTAGCGACTTCATTTTTCATATTTATTTTTTTCGTGTACATGCCATCATCATCATCACCATCATCATTACCATCATCATCGTCCTCTTCAACATCATCATCATTATCATTATTATGATTATTATTATTTTTACTTTCAGCATTATCATTGAAGAAACGATGATATTGATAATAGTAATAATTGTTGAGGTCATCATCATCATCATCATCATCACTGATGACACCGTCATATTCGTATGGGACAATATGATCAGTATAACTGTAATTATCAGTATCATTGTAATCATCTTCGTTATTATTATTATTATTATTATTATCATCATCATTATCATTATCATTATTTCCTTCTTCATCATTATCAACT